TTTTTTTTTTTTTTTTTTTTTTTTTTTTTTTTTTTTTTTTTTTTCTGAGCGACTGTGGGCCTTCTCCTTCTCCTCTGCTAGCCACAAACAGGACTCTTGCTCAAGATGGAGTTAGAAACCCTAAGTGCTGGGGTGACTATAAATCAATCCCAAATTTATTTTTTTCGTCTCCTCAGTGCAGATAACTGGTTTCCTCACTGGGTAGTGAGTACTGTGTGGTCCTTTTGGTAGTTATTTTGACCTGGTAGCCACCATCACCAGCTGGTCTGCCAACTAGGAGGAGAAAGGCCCTTCCAGGAGAGACATCTATCACTCAGATGAATTAGTTGGTCAACTGGCATTTTCTCCCCCGTAGTGTATGGGTGTATGCAACCATAGTTATAGTAACATAATATAAAATGCCTGCCTAATCCCTGCCTAGTCAGTTTCAGTTCTTAGTTGTTCAACAACCAGTAGGCAAAAATAAAAATAACTTTGACAGAAATGAGAATGATTAGAATGCTAATTTAAAAAAAAATCTCCTCAAAAAAAGGGGAAAAAGAATGAGAATTAAAAACTTGAATTGTTAATAAATTTCTCAAAGATTTTTCCGTTGTCCTTTTGAAGAGTGTACCTCCCTGATTCCCGTTACCAATAAGGTAAACATTTTAAGCAGAACTGACGAGTAGGCTAATAACTATTACCTTTCAGCATGGTGGCCATTTCAGAGTGTAAGCTTAAGTGAAACATGGTTAAATAATATAATCCTGGCTTTACAAGATGGCAGAGTTAAAGGATATTAGCAGCAATGTGATAAAATTATAAAGTGCAGCCAGAGCATCCATCTGGGCTTTCTTCTGTGGAAAACAAATAATAACTTGTTTTCAACTTCGCACGTAGACACTGTGATACATGCCTGTAGTCAAAAGCAGGTTGTAATTTAATTTCTCTCACACTCTGCAGAATGCATCAGAGGTCAGCACGTGTGATCAGTGACTCCAAAGAGTCCTGTCCGTAGGAAAGCATGCTATGTTCAGATCCCTGGCCATCAGTTCGGTTAAAAGGTATTTTGTTGCTTAAAAACATTTCAAATACAGACAAGTTCAGCTCCACAGAGGGAACATTAGTCTTTTATTTGTATTTGTGCTTATCTTAATAAATTTCTGCTTATCTCCAACTTCTATAAAAGAGATCTAGTTACATTCAAATTTAGAAAAAACAGCTCTTGCTTGAGCATGAGCCTGAAATGCCTGCGTTACTGGCATTTTAAACAGACCCCAGCAGAAATGTTAAGTGGCAATTCTCATTTATTTGCCCCAGATAAAAAATGCAAATCATATTGAAGAATCCTCCCCCACATACACTAACTGTAGTTTTTAAGATCACTCTTTTGCCAAAAGTGAAATTCATGATGAAGCCTGGCTCATAAGCAAATTGTTGCCAGGCTTGTTTCCTTAGGCTCATTAACATAAAGAACTGTTAACAGGTCCAAAGGGTCAGAGTGCCTTTTCCTTACAATTTCCTCCTTCCATTTGGAGTATAGGTGGAAGAACATTTTACTTTGAACAAAATATCTTATGTTGAGCTAATTGTCACTTAAGATTGCATTAAACAAAATGACATTATTTGGTAGAACATGTTCAAACATTCCATGCACACTTTGTACAGCTAAGAAACATTTGTAATTTAGCAGCCCTTGAAATGGAGGAAAAAAAAAATGAAATTACCTGAGGGATCCTTTCTCAGCTTCAATGCATTTGGAAGTGAACCCTAAAAACACTTAACACATGAAAAAAAAATAATGGGGGTATAAAAATGCAAATCTTTAAGGTAAATAGAGAATTGTTTGGATTGAGACCCCTTTGAAAAGCATGGGGTCCCGTGTCACAGTGCTCCACTTTGTTACAGGAAAATCTGGGAAATGTTCATTTGTGAAGGCATAACTTACAGTATTGCAGTTAATCCTTACCACACTGAGTGCACTCTAAATGATCTCAAAGTCAACCCACCTTTAAGCATTTTCTGAATGAATTCTTCCTAGTGCATACCTAATATAAAGAAAATGTATTCTTTCAGTAAGATACTTTTGGTTTTGATACTTAAGGTGCCTATACCTTCAGTTTTGCGCATACTGTACATTTTTATCTCCTTCAAGGAGGTGCATGTCGATAATATTTCAAGGCACTAGCAATTTTTAATTTGTTGGCATTTTCTTTTTTAGAAAGTACTAAAATTATAGTTTTTATATCATAGCTTTACATGTTGGAAAGCAACTTCTCATAGCCAGCTTCTGCTAAGTTATTTCTGTGCATCTATTTTACTGCTTAATGCAAATGAGCTCTTTAATGTCACTTAGGTGTGTGTAAACATAATGTGTATAATGTATATATATGGTTTTGAGGAACATCATGTAATTAATTTAAAAAATCATAAATTAAAAATATTGACAATTTGTTAAAATTTTTAAAATTAAGCTACTGGAATTTTGAAGAGCTCATTGTTTGTTTCTATTGAATGATTAAAAAATTCTAACCTTCCCCGAATTCCTGTCCCATAACCTTAAGCAGGTTTGCAGTTAGTTTGCATACATTTAGGAAAGTTGAGCATGAAGTATTTGCTTTGCTAATGTGCCTATCTGCTGTATACATCGGTTGTGTCTTTGCTCCTAGCTACCCTCAACCTCATTACAGATACTATTACCCTCCTTCCCCCACGCAGTAATGAGCCTGACTGCAGCAGCCTGATCTTCGCACTGAGTTTAGTTTAAAAGTCTATGGGGTTTATGGGCTGCAGCTCTAAGTTCTTTCCCCTTCAAATGGCTTAGCCAGTTAAGAAAATGCTAATTGAATGCTGCTAATAATTTTTAAAGGCATGTATAAATTACCTGGAAATAATGGCCTCATGGAAAGCAATGGACCAGCCGCAAAAAAAATATATTTATATATTTATTTTATTTTATTTTCCAGAGAAGGAGTGGGGGTTTTCTGGACAAAATTTCCTGGACCAAAAAAAGAAAAATTCTGCTCAATATGGGGCTGAATTAACCTCCCCAACCCCCCCCCCAAATTGTTAAAAAAATTGTTAGAGACTTTTTTTGGCAAGTCCATGTGCTGGTGTTAGAACACCAGTGCCCTTTCAGGATGGGGCTAGAGTTGTTTTGTTCTCTACCTCAACTTTGCACACTTAACAAAGAGCTGACTTGCCTGTGACATTTGCTCTGTTCAGCGGATCTGCTGCTGTCACTCTATTTGCAAGGTGACAAAAACAACAACAGTGGCACCCAGGCTGGCATGCAAACCCAGGCGGCCATGGGGACCACACCCCACCACAGTGACCCAAAAAGCCAGAGCTGGAAGTGTCACTCGGTGTCGATTTCTCCTTCCCGTCCAGCTATTTATTTGATCAGGTGTGAATTAGAGTTGTTCATTAAACACGGTTGTTATTCGCACAAGAGGGTTAGGGGAGACAGAGGAAGTAGCTGCCTACAACAGTAATTAAACATGTGTAACCAATTAGAGGCTTTTCCACGATGGTGCAAGCATATAATTTGCTAAGTCTTTCTATGAGAATAGATGAAAATAGGTACAAAAAGTGTGTCTGACTACAACATTCTCATGTTAAACATGTCAACATCAATGAACCTTAAATATATAATTCCTAGTTTGTTAGCAAACCACTGAACTCTATTGGCTAATCACAATAACATGTAATTTTAAGTTCATTTTGCCAAAGAATATTGCATCTGACAGAGCCGATTAATTGTACTAAACATTTTAGGCCTAGAGTATATTGATAGTCACATGGCAAGTCCTAAAATGCAGAGGCCTCTGCCTTCCGAAAAAGAAGGGAAGAGGACACCACAATTGGGATCTTAAGGAGTGCATATGGTTTCTTTGTTATATTCACAAATCATAGTGTTTAGCCTAAATTTCCTACATGAAGTGAATGCCCATTGATTCAAAAGATTCTGTGGGCTTAGAAATGATAAATCCATGCTCCCGGCCCACACCGCGCAGGCGTCCTGTCAGGTGCGGGTGTGTGGGGAAGGTTAAGGATTAGCTCGGCGATGTTAAGTGAACTCTGGCTGAGGCGTCTCTAATTTTGTTGGAAATGAGGAAGCCCGATGGTAAAGGGGAATCCTAATGAGCCCGTCGAAGGCTGGCTTTGTACCCGACAGACAGGGCGGCTGCGGATTGTATGAAGGCATTGGAAATCGATGTGTTCTATGGAATTTCATTAAGAAGCAGTATCCACAATTGATAGAGCCTCATAATTTGATGGATTGTGCTAAGAAAATGATTAGCTAGCTAGAAAGAGTCATAGAACACACACGCTGGGACGTCAGAAATGTTGAAGTGGGGTAATTTGTACAAAATAAAAAATATTGATTTTACCGATGTGCAAAATTTTGAAATGGAGGGCGGCTGTCTGGCGGAGCCCGGCTGATGTAATCTCTTGGTTTCCTAGGCGTCCCGGGGGACGGAGCGGAGGACGCAGACAGCGGCAGCGAGAGCAGGAGCGGCGGCGAGGAAACCAGCGTGTGCGAGAAGTGCTGCGCAGAGTTCTTCAAGTGGGCGGACTTCCTGCAGCACAAGAAGGCCTGCACCAAGAACCCGCCGGTGCTGATCGTGCACGAAGATGAGCCGGCGCCGCCCTCCGAGGACTTTCCAGAACCTTCTCCCGCCAGCTCGCCCAGCGACCGCGCTGAGAGTGAGGCGGCTGAGGAGGTGGCGCCCTCGGAAGGCAGCGAGGTGAAGGCCGCGACAAAGGAGGCCGAGCCCATGGACGTGGAGGCTTCTGCAGACAAGGGCCCTGCGGGCCCGGGTGTGGCCCCACCGCCACCGCCATTGCCACCGCAGCCGGAGCCTGCGGCCTTCAGCATGCCGAGTACCAACGTGACGCTGGAGACGCTGCTGAGCACCAAGGTGGCCGTGGCACAGTTCTCGCAGGGGGCGCGCGCCGGCGGCACCGCGGGCGCCGGTGGCAGCGTGGGCGCTGTGGCTATCCCCATGATCCTGGAGCAGCTGGTGGCGCTGCAGCAGCAGCAGATCCACCAGCTGCAGCTCATTGAGCAGATCCGCAGCCAGGTGGCCCTGATGAGCCGGCAGCCTGGGCCTCCGCTGAAGCCCTCGGCCAGCGGCCCTGGCACAGCCGCCGTGCAGCTCCAGGGCCTGGCTCCGCACGCGGCCCTCCAGCTCTCCGCCGGGCCCGCCGCCGCCTCTGCCGGCTCAGGCTCCACCCTGCCCGCAGCCTTCGATGGCCCCCAGCACCTGTCGCAGCCTGCGTCTGGCACAAGCACTCCCGGCAGCACCGGTACTGGCCCGGCCGAATCTGGGGCCCACCCAGCCTGCAGCACTGGCCCGGCTCCAGGAGCTGTGGCCGCAGCACCCAGCACAGTGGGCAACTCGGTGCAGCCCCAAAATGCATCTACGCCCCCTGCTCTGGGCCCCGGACCCCTCCTCAGCTCAGCCTCCAATCTGCCAAACCCTCTGCTACCTCAGACTTCGTCCAGCAGCGTCATCTTCCCCAACCCGCTGGTTAGCATTGCTGCCACAGCCAATGCCCTGGACCCCCTGTCGGCCCTTATGAAGCACCGCAAGGGCAAGCCCCCCAATGTGTCAGTGTTCGAGCCCAAGGCCAGTGCCGAGGACCCTTTCTTTAAGCACAAGTGCAGGTTCTGTGCCAAGGTCTTCGGCAGCGACAGCGCCTTGCAGATCCACCTGCGCTCCCACACAGGGGAGCGGCCCTTCAAGTGCAACATCTGCGGGAACCGCTTCTCCACCAAGGGCAACCTGAAGGTCCACTTCCAGAGGCACAAGGAGAAGTACCCCCACATCCAGATGAACCCCTACCCTGTCCCTGAGTACCTCGACAACGTGCCCACCTGCTCCGGGATTCCCTACGGCATGTCCCTGCCCCCAGAGAAGCCGGTGACCACCTGGCTGGACAGCAAGCCAGTGCTGCCCACTGTGCCCACATCAGTAGGGCTGCAGCTACCCCCTACTGTCCCTGGCAACCACAGCTACGCCGACTCCCCTAGCATTACTCCTGTCAGCCGTTCCCCTCAGAGGCCCTCTCCAGCATCCAGCGAATGCACCTCTCTCTCTCCAGGCCTCAACAATACCGAGTCCGGTATCGCGGTGAGGCCCGAGTCGCCCCAGGCGCTCCTTGGTGGGCCTCCGCTCACTAAAACAGAGCCAGTCAGCCTGCCCTGTTCCAGCACTAGGACAGGGGACGCTCCTGTGGTGGGCGGGCAGGTGAGTGGATTGCCCACTTCGGCTGCCACCACCGTCACAGACAGCGCCTGCACGAGCCTTGGCAGCCCTGGCCTTCCGGCCGTTTCTGACCAGTTCAAGGCCCAGTTTCCTTTCGGTGGGCTGCTTGACTCTATGCAAACGTCAGAGACCTCAAAACTGCAGCAGCTGGTGGAGAACATTGACAAGAAGATGACCGACCCCAATCAGTGTGTCATCTGCCACCGCGTGCTGAGCTGCCAGAGCGCACTGAAGATGCACTACAGGACGCACACGGGGGAGAGGCCCTTCAAGTGCAAGATCTGTGGCCGCGCCTTCACCACCAAAGGCAACCTGAAGACGCACTTTGGGGTGCACCGTGCAAAGCCCCCGCTCCGAGTGCAGCACTCCTGCCCCATCTGCCAGAAGAAGTTCACGAACGCCGTGGTGCTGCAGCAGCACATCCGGATGCACATGGGCGGGCAGATCCCAAACACGCCGCTGCCGGAGGGCCTCCAGGAGGCCATGGACGCCGAGCTGCCCTTTGACGAGAAGACTGCGGAGACCCTCAGCAGCTTCGACGATGACATCGATGAGAACTCCATGGAGGAGGAGGAGCCGAAGGACACGGCCAGTGACTCCTCCAAACCGCTCCTTTCCTACTCGGGGTCCTGTCCACCCTCGCCCCCATCGGTCATTTCCAGCATTGCTGCCCTGGAGAATCAGATGAAGATGATAGACTCGGTCATGAACTGCCAGCAGCTGGCCAGCTTGAAATCAGTGGAAAACGGGTCTGGGGAAAGCGACCACTTGAGCAATGACTCCTCCTCTGCGGTGGGTGACCTGGAGAGCCGCAGCGCGGGCAGCCCTGCCCTGTCAGAGTCCTCCTCCTCCCAGGCCCTGTCGCCCGCTCACAGCAACGGTGAGAGCTTCCGTTCCAAGTCTCCGGGTCTCGGCCATCAGGAGGACCCACAGGAGATCCCACTGAAGACTGAAAGGCTGGACAGCCCACCCCCCGGCCCAGGAAACGGAGGTGCCCTGGACCTGACAGCGGGCCATCCCGGCAGGCCACTCATCAAGGAGGAGGCCCCCTTCAGCCTGCTGTTCCTGAGCAGAGAGCGGGGTAAGTGTGCGAGCACTGTGTGTGGTGTCTGTGGCAAGCCCTTTGCTTGCAAAAGCGCGCTGGAAATCCACTACCGCAGCCATACCAAGGAGCGGCCGTTTGTCTGCACGGTCTGCAGGCGAGGCTGCTCCACTATGGGTAACTTAAAGCAGCACTTACTGACACACAAGTTGAGAGAGCTACCTTCTCAGGTGTTTGACCCCAACTTTACTCTAGGTCCCAGCCACAGCACACCCAGCCTGACCTCCAGCCCCGCGCCCACCATGATCAAAATGGAAGTGAACGGTCACAGCAAGGCCATCGCATTGGGTGAGGGCCCAGCCCTACCAGCCGGGGTCCAGGTCCCTACTGGGCCCCAGACAGTGATGAGCCCGGGCCTGGCACCCATGCTGGCCCCCCCACCGCGCCGGACACCCAAGCAGCACAACTGTCAGTCCTGTGGGAAGACCTTCTCCTCAGCCAGTGCCCTGCAGATCCATGAGCGCACCCACACTGGGGAGAAGCCCTTCGGCTGCACCATCTGCGGCAGGGCCTTCACCACCAAGGGCAATCTCAAGGTAAGAGGGTCACAGGTCGAAGGCGGTGGCCAAGCCGCGTGGCACCTGTGGACGGCCCCGGCACCCCTTCTCTAGGCTGCCTGGCAGAGGTTCTGTCTTCACCCTCATGTGTATGTCCTATACAGACTTGTGGAGTGAGTTGTTTGTACTTACACAGTGTGAGTGCGTGTAGTAGGTGCATGTGTATATACATGTGTGTATGAACAGTGCACATGCATGTGCATGGACTCAGAAGATATGCAGCCCACTAAACAGCAGTAAGGGGAGCAGGGATCCATGTTCTGCCGGAGCGGGCGCACGTCTGCATGCTCCTCTGACGGTACTGGCCTGCTCCAGGCCTAGCGTCATGATAGGTGCTTGCTTGGCCCTCAGGCCGAAGACACAAACCTCTTGAATCTGTTAACAAAATCAACTTGGCCCTTAAGCGTTAGCATACAACACAAAGATTTGATTTGCCCTGTGAGGTCTAGAATGTTATAACGCCCATTTGACTGCAGACAGAGCCCCTGGAAGGAACACTGGATGAGAAGTGCCCTCCCCACACACACACCTGAAGCCTGGAGGAAACAGAGGCTCTGTTGTGTCCCTGCTTAAGACCAAGGGCAGCTAAGTGTTCTCTGAAGACAGGCTGCCGGCAGGTGCCGCAGATGCTGCTGGCCTTAGCCAAGGAGACACTGCCTGTCCAGGCCTCAGAAGCCTCTCCAGAGAAAGCCAGCCATCAATACCTGAGGCTCTGTGCTGAGCCAGCACAGACTGAACAGGAGTCTCCTGAGGACCCTGTTGCTCTGGGCGGGCCAGGAGGATCTTAGTGCTCATTTTTTTCCTGTTCGAGAGGAAGCAAGAGAGAGGGACAGTCGAAGACTTCAAGTTTGAGACCTTTTAAAAGTTTGAAAGTGAGCCGGGGAGATAGCTGAGCCTAATCTTGTTGGCGAGTTCCAGGCCAGTAAGAGACCCTATCTGGGGGAGGGGAGAACCATGCTTGAGGAGTAGCACCAGAGGTGGTCCTCTGACCCCCACATGTGCACACTGAGGTGGGGAATGAAGGAAGCGGTGAACAAGTGCCTTTATCCTTAAAGCCGTCATAGTAGTAGTCTCTAGTCTCCAGTAGTCTTGTGGGATTTTTTCTTGATGGGTGTGTATGTTGGTGTCTAACAAGTTTGTTCACTTATGTGCTGGTTTTGCTTTTTATATTCACAGAATGAAACACTGTGCGTATAGTACAAGGTGCTGGGTTTCACCTAACTGCGTTCAGTTGACCCCCGGCTAAGGCTTAGAATGTGGATAACTTGAGACACTGAAAGCAAGACATGGCTGCCTTGCAGTGCCAGGCACCCTTACTCTCGGCTTGTCTCTCTGTCTCCCGCAGGTACACATGGGCACCCACATGTGGAACAACGCACCTGCGAGGCGTGGCCGCCGCCTGTCTGTGGAAAACCCCATGGCCCTGCTCGGTGGGGATGCTCTGAAGTTCTCTGAGATGTTCCAGAAGGACTTGGCAGCTCGGGCAATGAATGTTGACCCGAGCTTTTGGAACCAGTATGCGGCTGCCATCACCAACGGGCTGGCCATGAAGAACAATGAGATTTCTGTCATCCAGAATGGAGGCCTCCCTCAGCTCCCTGTAAGTCTAGGCGGCGGTGCCATCCCGCCTTTGGGCGCCATGGCTAGTGGGGTGGACAAGACACGCACTGGCAGCAGTCCGCCCACTCTCAGCTTGGACAAGGCAAGTTCAGAGACGGCAGCCAGCCGGCCATTCACGAGGTTCATTGAGGAGAACAAGGAAATTGGAATAAACTAGCCCGATACCCTTAAGACTCCATCCTCCTGTTCTGTCCCGAGTCCGCTCCTCACTGATGGAGCATCCGGCTTTGGACCCCACATGCCTAGACTCTCATTAATATTTTACCCGTGACAGAAAATATGTGCACCACATGGCTGCTGTTAGGTGGCCTGGGGAGGGCCGCACGGTACTTCCTTCAGCAGTGGGTTTGACTGTTCTTAAGAACTCTGCAACCTTTTAAGTAAATTGCAGACAAAAGCTTATGTGCTTGGAAAACGGCCTTAGGAACCGAAAAGAGCTGAGACCATATCTACTTCATTTCTCCTAAAACCGAGTGACCCTGTCACGTGGGGGAACGAGGTCCCCTGTGGTAATCCAGTGAGCTGCATTCGGTGGTTTTGTTCAAATTCTGTAGACACTTGAACTCTGTTTTAGGGACCCTTCCTCTTGAAGAAGCAGTTCAGTGCTCCAAATGCTGTGTATTACGACAGTCTCTTCGTCTATAGTATTTATGTTAAGATTATGCGGGTAACAGACAATAAAACAGCCCAACCTTAAAATGAAGATTTTGAATCACAGAATACATCTGGCTATGTGATTTTTTTTTAAAGCAAGATTTGCTTTATTATAAATAAGTGGATTAATTCAACGCAGGCAAAATTGTGACGTTCTATTGGGAAAGATAGCATGCTTTTTGTGTGCAAGTACCTGTCAGTAACACCCCCCCCCTTTAATTTAAATGTTTGTAGCTGCTATGTGAACAATTGTTCTCTAGTATGGTCTGTAGCCCCACAGTCGGCTGGGAACAAGTTACAGACAACCATCACCGTAAGATGATTCACGGCATTATACACGGTTGTGAGTAAATATTTCACATTATCAAAGCTGTATAATAAAGAGGCAATGTTTGTATAATGTGGTTGCAAATCTTAATTTATACAATTGCACTTTTAGTATTTTGTATTAGGGAGGTTTGTCTATAATTTGAAAATTTAAAAAAGATGTAAAGTATTTTATAACTCGTACTTCGGTTTAAAGAAAATGGAGAAAAAAAAATCATGTCACAATTTATTGTTTTGTCTTAAAGTCGAACATGAGAAATCTATGCTGTTTAAGCAGAAAAGCCACCAAGACTTGTCAGCACCTCAATAAAATAAGGCCTGCCATTTCTTAAATTAACATGATTTATTTAACTTTTCTACAAAACCCGTTGAAAAACTGTGAGCACCCTAACAAAACTTTGACAAATTAATCTTAGTCCCGTGACACAGAAAAGGCAAGGAAACAACAGAGTGAGCGTTGTGCAAGTGTGATTTCACTGTAGGCTCACCTCTGTCTCTCTCACACACATGATATGTGGCCGCCTCGCAGCACTGGCCAGGGCGCACATGAGACAGGAAGACTGAGTGTCTGGCAGTATAATCAGTCATAACTTTGACATTTTGTAAGTTGGTGATTTATCCAAGTGAAAACACAGTGCAGTGTCCTGATTATTCAGAATCTGCTGATGTCTTGTCCAGAGTGCATCCAGTGGGCATGGAGCCAGATGCTGGGAGGCGGGGCTGAATCGAAACTTGAACGTCAGTGTTGTGTGTACTACCTCATTTTTGTGCATCGCAAGCATGCTGGGATATGACATGATGAACTTCCAACAAAATTGCTCAAGACACACTGTAGGTAGCTGGGTACCTCGGCAGGGAGCTGTCTGCGCCTGAAGGCCAAACCAGATAGTGTGAAACAGAATGACAGAGCAGTCACCTCATACAACTGAACCAACAGGAAAAGACACTGCAGGGGAATGACTGCCACTGGCCCGCGGCTGAGCAGAGAGCTTCGGGGCCCCTTAGTGGTTCCTGTCTTTGGAATCAAACACTGAAATCTCTGACTCTGTTTTCCATGTAGTGAAATGAGGTGGAGCATCTCCAGGTCATGCCATCTCCTGCTGGGGTGTGGGACCAGGGGCTTCAGCTTTGGGAAGAGGAAGACAAGGTGGCTTAATGTTGCTGTGCTTTGGCAGTTAAATGTCTTGTTATTTATGTGTCCTTTTGGTGTGTGTCCTCCCCTCCCCCATCTTGGTTGGTATTTGGTACCATGTTAGTGTTCTTTCTTCTCTCAAAAGGATGTGTATATAACTTAAGAAAAGAGAAATGTAAAGCATTATAAATGAGATGGCTGATGAAGGTGCAGTAGCTACCCCCATTCTGTGTTCAGGGCTGGCTTCCCTCGCGTGGTGAAGAGAGACACTATTTTTATACTGTAAAACCACTCGGGGTGAGGGCCTCCCAGAACCAGCCAGGGTGTTTGGCAGACCCGATATATTTTATGATTAAATCTCGTGGCTTGACACATCTACTGGCTGAAACGGATGTCGTAGTCTAGGTTACTATTTTTGTCATATGGAACTGAATAAAATGCAGGATGTCATATTATTTCTGAATTGTGTTCCCTGATTCTTCTCGGTGGAATTTGCGGTGAATGGATGTCTGCGGTGTTTTCCAGGGGAAAGTCGACAAGGGTTGACAGCTTACATTTAAGCAATGTCTAGGATTACTTGGATCTTGCCCCCCTGCACTGGGCGTAGAACCCAGGGCCCTGTACATACATGCATGCTACACAAGCACCTTGCCACTGGTCCACATCTCCTTCCTTTGATATTTTTTTTCTTCCCCAAATAAAATAAATCTTTCTAACCGTGTATATTGTTTTACATCTGCCACGGAAGATGTGCTAGAGCAGCCTGCGAGAATCTGTGGTGCGCAGGTGACAGAGCTCAGTATTCTCTTCCCGTCTTCTGCACCGACTGAGCACAGCGGCTCTCGGGTCACTTGAACAAGGAAATGGACTCGAAGTAGGAAGACTAGAAACAAGAGTGCGCTCATGGGCACCACACACAGTGCGTGTCACGTGGGCTCTCTGACATCAGCCTCTGTCTACTCCCACTGGAGATGTCATTTACTTCTAAATTAGCTTTGTCTCCCTGATGACATTGCTAAGAATTGTAACTTTAATTTAAGAGCTCCGGATACATGTTAGACAATCTTTTTTTTTTTTTTTTTTTTTTTGTAAACACTAAATAACAATTGATATACACAAGCAACTTGTATCAGGAATATGGTAGAAAAAAAGAGTTCTTTTAGAAATGAGAAAGATGCCAACTAATCCATCTGGCCAGGGACCCCCCCCCCCTTCAGGGTCCCTAAACCTTAGAATTTAAACTATGTTGATGTGTTTGAACTAAGTCATATAGTAAATTAATTTTTTAAAAAGAGAAATAGCAAAGATTCCATAACTATTTAGAATCATCAAAATAAATTAAAATTCAAGAGAAAAAAAAAAGGACCAATCTCTTCTATTTCAAAAGTATTTTTAAGCGGCAAGTCAGGGGTCTCTGGGCTTAGCAAGTGTGGCTTGCACTTCTGACACCAGCTCCAGTTACTCAGAAGAATCCTAAGTGGCCACGATCCCTAAAAATTATTTAACTGCACTTCTGTTCTGAATTCATTGCGCGAGCCACTAACATTTAAAACTAATTAAAAGCAGTGCCACAGGGCCAAACAGGAATGATATTGTCCCGGTGGGTTAGGGTAAGGCTGTACATCCCCCTGCTTCTCCTTCCTGTCTGGCAGAAATACCTGGTCCCATGTGGTATTTTATGAACGTCAGGGGTATTTCTTTATTCCTAAGCAGTGTCTGCGCCGCCAGCTTCAAACCACTGCCGTCCCTCCATGCATGTCTACAGCTGCAGACACCAGAGCCCTTCGTTTCTTTCTCCTTGCACATGCTTGCGGCAAAGCAGTGATGCGTGTGACTGTGGCTCCTCATCCACCTGTTCCCACCACATACCCTGATGGCTCTCTTGCTAAATACCAGGCTAAGGAAGAGTGAGCACGCTTCCTTGTTTAGCGCTGAAGTTTCAGGTGACTGAACACTTTACCTGAGGACGGATGGGACAATTTACGTCTCTTAGCTGATTTGGGTGATGTTCAAATTTGAGCTCTGGAAATATTTCTAATGATAATATGGAAAATTCTTTCCCCTCAAAGTCTGGTATTAACTGAGAGAGCATCCTTCACAAAGGGGGAGCCTCGGGAGCAAGTCACAATGCAGTCACGTCAGCCCTGTGGTATGAGTTGGAGGCGTGAGTGTGGCTGGGGCTCCATTTGTCCTTGTGCTCTGTAAAAGGTCAAAGGCAGGAGCTGCAGTAGGCAGTGTGTCCGCAAGAGATGGAGCCTCTTCCCACCCCTCACTCAGTCTCCTTATCTGTAAGAGCTCAGAAGCTGGTGGTTGCTCCAATTTTCACTTCTGAAATTTCTTGGATTTTTTTTTGTTTTGTTTTAAGTCACTAATACATACCTTCCCTGTCATGATTCAGTGGACAGACTAATTGCTAGGGTTTATTTATAGAGAGAATGTGAACAATCACCTAAAAACATTACCTTCTAATACAGAAAAATTATTATGAAAGTCTACTGAAAGAATTCTGTGGAATCGTTTCTGGGCCATGAAGATGTGTTTCTACCTTTAAACAGGAAAGCCATAACAACAAAACATTCAGCTTACTGGTGTTTTTTTCAATGCCTCAGAACCTGTGGTAAAATAAAACGCATGTTCTGTGAACATTACACTGAAATAATTTCCTGTTAGAAAATGGAGTTTTTAAGGTGATCTGGCTTTGTGTGTGTGTGTACATTGCATGCAATACAGGCACACACACAGATTAACATGACGGTCACTTCCTGATCTTTAAATATTAAAGAAGCCAAATCAGTTAGGTTGCTAGCACCCTGATTTTCAATTCGGTCTGCGTCCGTTCCTTCTTTCCTATCTCAGCTTATAATTTAGACAAGGCAGACTTGAGTGTACCCACTTAAGACGATCGGAACAGCGTTCACTGGGCTCCTGGGAAGCTGGTGGAAAAGTCAGGAAGGGCATCAGGGCGGAAGAGAAAATGCAGCGGTGTCAGCGTGTGTAAACAAGTGACCACTGGGTCCTGCCCATGGCCTGAGGAGGAAAACCTGGCCACATCAGTGTGGCCATTCAGCGTCCAGGACTGAAAATTGGATATAAGCATAGGAT